GGAGACGATTTCTTCGCATGAGAGAGGCAAAGAAAAAAGAGGGAGCCCAGCAAACACCTCCGCCCCCCACCACGGTGGGAGCCTAGGCAGATTGGCACGCATCACTCCGAGCAGAGCAGGACAGACAAGGTAATGCACGATCTGGTCCCCAGCAACACATTGGCATCCGAACCTGCATCCGAGAGTGGCCTGGCGGTATCTCCGTGAGGTATTCCAGGCGTTACATATACTGCGCAGTAGACTGAGTTGAACGAAGGGAGCAATATGCTGGCCGACAACTTTTAGCCGAGAAACACAGTTGGGCTTCGGGGGCCCCAACTTGGCCAACTTCAGGAGACCTCGAGGCCCAGTGCTGGAGGCGCCTCAGGATAAGCTCTGGGAACGGAACCAGGGGTTGACAGGAGAGCATAAGCTTGGTCATTTTCTTCTGAAGCCCAGGCTCGAAGACGGCGGGGGCGGACGGGGCCCTGGATGACTCGCGATAGTTCTGGGCCATCATGAAAACGAAAGACTTGGTATAAACGAAGATGAGCATCCAGGTGGCATTCGGGATCATCGAACGCGTCCTCAATTTTCTCGATGCAGGCGAAAAAGACCGACGAGGCGAGGGTAGCGCGATATGCAGCGGCCCGAGCTTCGTGAGTGAGCGACCTGGCCCGAGATAGCTTTCCCCCGATAGACTTCATTCCCGCCAGAATGTGATCTGAAAGGGCATGCCGAGGAGTGCATGTTAAAGACTGCAGACCGAGATGCGCCTGCCAGCTGCACTCGGCCGTGGGCGGAAAGAACTGGGCGATGTACATGGGCACAGTGACTGCTATCTGGTTGCACGCCACGAGAGACATCGACAGGCCTAATTTCAAAGACTTAATGAAGCGGCAGCGGTCGCGGAACTTGACCAGTGGGGCGGCCCAAGATTCCTCTTGGGCCCTGATCCCGCGCATCACACCAAGATACTTGGCACATTTGGACATCCCGAAGCTGCGGACCCTGATCTCCTGCCGTTGGAACTTTCTCTCTTCCTCCTCCCTGTTAAAAATCGCTGTAACATAATATCACCGTTTTTTCTGAGGTTCGGGATGAGGCCCGCGGCGTGCCCTGCAAGCATCATAACTTTCGTGAAAAAGGTACAGCCGTGTAGATGTCAAAAGCGGCGGAAGCAACATCGTCGGCGAAGGCGCCGTGCATATGGACAGGCCGAGGCAGCCGAAGACAGAGCAAGCGTAAAATCGGATCGAACCCCAGTGCGAACACGCCCCCCCGAGAGTGGACATCCTTGCTTTATCCCGCGGGGGATCCGAAAAGAGCAGTGCGACACCCCGCCCAGGAGAACGGTGGTGGTAACCCTGGCATAGAGCGTCTTTATCGCATTCAGCACAAACTCTGGGAAATTCATTTCTCGAAAACGAAAAATATCCATTCATGGCATAAGCTGGGGAAGGCTGCCTTAATGTCCAGCAGGATAGCGCCTGCAGCCTGTCGCCACAAAATGCCTGCTCCTACGACCATATGGTCTCAAACTCAATCAGGTTGTCTAGCATGTTACGGTGTTTGACGAAGCCCCTTTGGATCCCAATAGTGGTGTCCACGCAAACCTCCTTCAGGCGGCAGTTGATCGCGACAGCGACAAATTTGTTGATCGAGTTGGAGAGGGAGATGGGGCGGGCCATTTCAGGGGCCCCCCAGAGCTCGAGCCCGTCGCGGCCCAGGGAACCTTTGGGGAGGAAGACCGAGTTGCTGAGGTCGAAATCGTCGGAAACCTTGCCGAAATCCATGGTATGCTGGTACATGGCGAAGGCGGCCCACCTAACAAATAAGTTCCCTCTGGGCCAGGCAGAGTAACATAGCCCGTCAGGGCCAGGGGCGGAATCGTGAAGCCGATCCAAAACTCCGTAAACTGCTCTTCGGAGAGCCTCCAGATCTGGGCCTCCCTCACTTTTTGAATATGTTCCTCTAGCTGGTCCCTCGCGGCAATTTGAAATGAAACAGAGGCATGAACTTGGCTCCAGTGAGCGGCGAGAGCATGAGCTCCAGCCTCAGCAGTCGGGAAAGCGTTCCCCTCGGCATCCGCGATGCCCGTGAGGAATATTCTCCGATTCTTCGGAGACCAGGCCGATGCCAATCTCTGGAGACGCGCAGCTCGGTGCTCATAGAATTGGGGGGATTCCGTGGTGTGTCCGATGATTTCCTCGTATTCTTTTTGATGCCGAGCGGCCGCAATCTTGGCCATATACTCTTGAAAAGCTGACTGGTTGTGCCGCATTCCGCTGTCAGGGTCGAGAAAGTTGAGCAGCGCGGGGATGGCCTTGACAGCCTTCTTCAGCGCGCTTGTCTTGCGGCTCCGCATGGCGCGATTCACCGCGAACAGCCACTGCAAATGCTGCTCGGCGCAGCTGGGCGGAAGCTCAGAAAGACGATGCTGAACGAGACGGCCTGCTTCGTGCATAAGGCGCGTGAGCTCTTCAATCATCAGTGGCGGATTATCTTCGCAAGCCCCGTGCTCGTTGCTAAGCTATTCAAGCAGGATCGGATGCAGAGGGTGACGAGAGACCCACGAGGCGACGGCCCGAGCGCGGTTTTCTCCGCCTCCGTTCAGATGCAGGTACACCGGTGCGCGGTCACTCGGGAGGTAGGCTTTGCAGATATTCCACGAGGTCCCAGAGGTCGGTTTCAAATCCAAGAGGTCCCCAGTGAACATATTGGTATAAATGCGGTCGATCCTGGATACACTAACCACGTGTCCATTCCGAGTGGTGTGGTGGGTCGGATTCTCTTGGTAGCATTCCATAGCGTTAGGCAATAACGACCCGAACTTGTGGGCAAGGGAGTCTGGGCTGTTGATCTGCGCAGAGCCGTCTACTCGCTGGGTGCCCTCGCCCAGCTCGCAAAAGTTGAAGTCTCCAACAAAGAAGAAGAGGCCCTGGACAGCATGCAACAAATCGGCGCACAAGCGAAGAATCATTATTTTCTCTCTGTGGCGGCAACTCGGGTCGAGATGGAGGTTAAGGATGGTAAGCGAGAAAGAGTCGGACTGGATGGTGACGGCATGGAGACGCCCAGAAATAATCGCAGTATGTTGATGTTGAGGAAGCAGAGCGAGAAGAGAGCGAGCAAGCATGGTCGCATTCCCGCCAGCATGGCTGTCGGGGCAAAACGAGCATAACGATTCGTAGCCAGGGAACTCGGTGCGCAACGATTCGCGGTCCCCTTCATGGCCGTGCGTTTCTTGTAAGCAAATGATAGTGTTTGCTCTAGTCAGGTTAGTAAGTCGATCGAAGGTCTTGACCTGAGTGTCGTGGTCCCCAGAGACCGCGCCGAACAGGGCATGACAGTTCCAAGTGGCAATCCGAATGCCTCGACCGTTGGCCAGGGACGGCGGAAAAGAGAGGCGAGAACTGGCTGGGTTCTCAGGCGAAGGCGGCTGGGCTCCGAAATCAGCATTCGACAGAGACGGCGAGCGGCGGGCAGAAGATTCGGGCGACAGAGGCAGCGAAGAAGAGGGAAAAGGCGAAGAGTTGGCACACGGTACTAGGCTGGCGTCACTTCAGTGCTGCTGGACGGCGGCCTGAGCCTGCTCGGCCATCCAGTTGGCGGTCGACTCGGTGATACTCCACTCGGAGAGCTGGTCGTTGATCGGTTTCAGCTCGTACATACCCTCAGGAACATCGGACAACTTGAAGATATCCCAGTGGTCGTTCTCGGTGGTGATACTGAACACGCCTTTGAACGGGTTGGTGCCGATTTTGATTGTCGGGCTCCACTTGCCCGCGTTCTCGAGGTGCTTGCGGACGAGTGGCCAGAGGGCGCTCAGGGCGCGGTTCTTCTGGCGGGCTTGCAGCGGCATATCTCTGCGGCAGCGCAGCGCATGAAGGGGCGAGTTGCGATAGTCCTGCCACGTCCCGGGATTCGCGAGGAACCAATCGTGGAAGTCGCGGGTCTTCTGCTCGGAGTTGAAGGTGACGGCGAACGCTTGCGATACTTTGTGAAAATGTATTGTCATCCCTTCGCTGATGGCGGCAGGAAGTCGGCTTTTCATCTGGCTGAAGACTGTGCGCCTATACGGCTCGGTGACTGGGCGAGGGCGTCGGACGGAGCTCGTTGAAGTTCGGCAAGAGACGCTTCGAGTCTGGCCATCTTCTCATACATCTGACGTTGAATCTCGAGCCCTGCGTTCTTAGCGACGGGGTTGCCTTCCTCAGTGTCGAAGAAGGCGGCGTTGGTGGCGGCTTCCTGATGGGCATGCTCGAGTCGAGAACCTCGTAGGTCCATGTCGAGAACGAGGGCCTGGTGAGCGTTCTTGGCCTCTTCGAACTTGCCCTCCATGGCGAGCTCGAGATCGGAAATATTCTCCTCGAGTCCTTCCGCAACGGCGAGACGCTTCTCGACATCTTTGATGTCGTCCCTCATGGCGCTCATGCCGCCGTTCATTCCTTCGAGGACCTGGAGCAACTGAGCATTGGATACTTCAACAGGAGCCATTGCACTGACAGGCAACGAGACAGAATCTGGGGAGAGAGATCTGGTGGCGGCAAAATGCCTCAGTGCGCGAAAAGGGTCAACCCCCGACCCTTGTGTCGCGGGCCGAGTCGGGAGCAGCCCTGCTCTGACCTGGCCAGCTGCCTTGAGGATATGGCAACTTGAGCCAAAATGGCTTGAGCCAAAATGGCTACGGAGGGACGGAGGAGGAGGAAAAGAAAGATGAGGAGGAGGGGGAGGAGGAGTGGAATGCGCCGTGCTCTTCTTTGGAGGTCTCGTTCGTTGCTTGTGTGCCTCGCTCAGCTACGTGCGCATCAGCGCGTTGGTGCAGTTCGTGCTGTTCATCCCGCTCCTTGTGGGAGGCCTTGTCGCTGCTGCCAGAAAGGAGGGCGAGGACGAGGAGGAGGAGGAGGAGGAGGAGGAGAAAGAAAACGACGACGACGACGACGCAAACGCCGATACCAACGGCGGCGGCCGACGGCGACCCGGGCCCCGAAGGCGCGGCGGGGGCCGCGGCGCAGCTCCTGGACTTGGGCGCTGCGGGCCGCGCCGCCGCCGCCCGAGCCTCTGGCCTTCTGCTGCTTCCTGACGAGGGGCGAGGCGGGCCGCCACCGGGCCGCTGTCGCCTCCGCCGCCGCCGCCGTCGCCGCCGCCGCCGTCGCAGTCGCCGTCGCCGTCGGCGTCGCCGCCGTCACCGCCGCTGCCGTCGTCGGCGCCGTCGTCCGCGTCGTCGTCGCAACCGCCCTTCTGCTGCCTGGTCTGGCGAGAAGGGCGGGGACGACGCCGACGCCGTCGCCGTCGGCGTCCCGCCGCCCTCGCCGTCGGCGTCTCTGTCTGCGTCGTCGTCACCGCTGCCGCAGCCTGTGTCTTTCTGTTGCCTGCTGGGGAGGTGGCGGGTGGGCGTAGGGTGGGGTGGAAGGTAAATGAAAAAACGCGAACATTGCTACATGCCGCGCGAGTGCAGATTTGACCGCATATTATAATGCTGCTGATGCCGTTGCTGCTGCTTCTGCTGCTGCTTCTGCTCCTGCTGCCGCTGCTCCAACTCCTGCTCCACTCCCGTGTTCTTGCGTTTCTTGTCTTGAGAAGGGGAACTGCGCGACCACAACATCTCGACTCGCCAACAATGACGCCACACTGCAAGTCTACAGATCGCCAATCAACTAGGGAATGTCAAAGCAATCCGACCTGCAGTTGGAAGGCTCACGCAGTGTACCATGGCCTGAAGTGCTTGCCTAACATGGCGTTTTGAAAGCAAAGCTCATGGGGACCGTGCGCTGCAGACGAGTAAATGTTGGGCACAAGGCCTAGACACAGGGATACAGAGGAAGGGGGAAGGGAAAGCAGAGGAAAGTATAGGTCAGCCATTCCAGGCGCTATCTGAATATGTGCGCACAGCGCCATGGGCATAACCACTGGCTCGCACACGTATGAATCTTGACCGCGCGCGGGTCTTCGATCATGAGTGCCACCACAATGGAGGCAACAAGGAGGAACGGGGGACGCAAAGAGAGAACGCACGAGGCATCAGATGGCGCGACAACAATGCAAACCACTCTAGCAACCGACTAAACCATTGCGCCAGAATTAAGACACTGTTGAACTGAAGCCTTGCGGCGGAGCTCTCGGACGATCTCGTGGATGTGTTAAAGCAGGCACATCCGTCACTAGCGGCCACCTGAGGAGACCCATGGCCTGAATGCGAATCAATGGAATCAACAAGTGGCGGAAAACGAATAGTCCGCATGCATTTGAGCCGTGAAAAGAATGCCAGCAGGGAGTGAGACGACGAAGGAGGGGAGGTGAGGGGAAGGACGGAGAGGGGGATGATCGCTCCAGCCGAGCGTCGGTCGCAACCACACACCCTCCAGGCGGCCCGCATGCAGGATCCTGCGAAAAAACGCCAGGATAAGGGAGGGAGGGACAGGAGGGGAGGAGAGACGGAAGAGGGGGGATGATCGCTCCAGCCGAGCGTCGTTCTCTTAACTTCGCGCCCCCCAGGCGGCTGGCATGCAGGGCCTGGTGAAACAACGCCAGGAGGAGATAGGAAATGGAGGGGAGGGGGAAGAAGGGAGGGAGGGGAGGGGGAAAGAAGCTCTTAGTTTTCCCCCTTTCCCTTCCTCTCCCCCACATCCTCCCTTCGCCCTCCCGGCTCGGCTCCTCTCTTCCTCCTCCCCTTCCGTGGTGCGCGGATCACTCACGTGCCGACATCGGGCGAAGAAAACCTCCCTTCCACCTCCTCCTCCACCTCCTCCACCTTCTCCTCCAGCAGCTCAAAGAGCCCCTGCTCCCCTCTGCCTTCGCCATCGTCGACTTGCGGCGCACCCACCTCCTCCTCCAAGTCCTCCGTTTCTCCCGTCATCGGATAAACACGAAGACGATGACGGAGCAAACAAGAGCAGGAGGATGAGCCGGAGCACAAGGGGGGTCCTCGCCCCTCCGATTTTCTGGTCCCGCGGATGCCGATGCCGACGCCGACCCCGCCGCCGATGCCAATGCGGGCGCCACTGCTGCCACCGCGTGCGTGTGTGCGTATGTGCATGTGTGCATGTGTGCATGTGTGCATGTGTGCGTGTGTGCATAGGTGCATGTGTGCATGTGTGTGCGTGTGCGTGTGTGCGTGTGTGTGTGTGTGTAGGTGTGTGTGTGTGTGTGTGCGTGTGCGTGTGCGTGTGCGTGTGCGTGTGCGTGTGTGTGTGTGTGTGCGAATGTGTGTGTGTGTGTGACCGGCCCCCGCGCGCTGACTCTCTGCTTGGAATCCGCTGCGCCACTGCACGTGTAGCTGAGACGCCAAACAGTAAAAATGTGTGCGTGTGTGTGTGTGTGTTTGTGTGCGGGGGGGCGCGGAGGCGACGGGAGGGTGCCTCTGCTCCCTCAGCTGCTCCAGGTAGTCAGAATCGAAGTCCTTCCACGGGACACTCGCAGAAGGGGAGGCAAAGGAGACGACAACAAGATCGTGAATGTTGATGGGGATGGTGGTGATGATCATGATATGAATGTACTTCAGTAAAAACAAATACGAATGCACATGCCATGCAAAATAACGCGCAAATCCTACCAGGCTGCCCCAGGTCCTTCTGCCTGGCGGAGGCCCTGCGTCCTTGCAAAAGGGAGAGCCGTCGAGGGGGAGCCCAAACTGACATGTCGAGCGTTCGGCCTCAAAATCGCCCCCAGAGACCCCCCCCCCACAGGCCTCCGAAGACTTCTCAATAGGCCTTCGGCCTCCACATCGCCCCCAGAGCCTCCCCCCCCCCGGCCTCCGAGGAGCTCTCAATAGGCCCCACGAGCCTCCCAAGCGGCCCCCCAAAGCACCTGAAGAGTTTCCGAGAGGCCCCCAGGAGGCGCCAACAGAGCCCCAAGAAGCATCCAAGGCGCCCCCAGGAGGCCCCCAAGAGCCCCTGAAACTGATACACAGGAGCCCCCCGAGAACCCTCCGAAGAGACACGAAGAAGCGATAATGAGGACTCTCACCCGCAACCGCATCAGCGCCCACCAGCAGCGCCGCATGGCCCACGAACGCGCACGCATACGCCAACGATGGCACAATACGGACCATCGAAATGAGCGAAGCGACTCATCACGCGCAAATCCTACCAGGCCGCCCCGGGCGGGCCTTTACGCCCAGCGGAGGCCCCGCGGTCCTGCGAAACCCGTGGTCTGCATGAATCCCTCCGATCTCTTTCAGGAGCTCCTGAGGAATCCTCGCGACCTCCTGCCACACCTTGTGAAGCCTTTCGGAATCCTCGCGGATCCCTCAGGTCTCCTTCAGGAATCCTTCAGGGACCCTTGCGAACCCCTTTGCAATCACAACGACGCCGTCAGGAATTCTTCCGAAACCCTCTGGTCTCCACCAGGAATACCGACGGAATCACGGGTCCATAAGGAGCCCTTGGGAAACGTATTTGAGAACACCCACGAATCCCTTCGGCATCCTTCAGGATCCCCCACGAATTTTCCGAATCCCACAGGAGTCCGCCCTAATCCCTCAGAAGCCAAACGAGGAACCCGCAGGAATGCCCCAAGTCCCGAGGTCTCCTCCGCGACCCTCGCGAGTCCCGAAGGAATCTGGGTGAACCCCGTAGGAATCCTCCCCGGCGTATCCCCCAAGTCGCCGCCAAAAATCCTCAGGATTCCTTCAGGAACCCGCGCGAACCCATCAGGAACCGTCCCAACTCCGCAAGAATCCCTAAGGAGCCCTCAAGAATCCTGGCGGGTCCCCGGGTCCCTCAGGAATGCCTCAGAGAGCCGTATGAAACCTTCACGAGTCCCGCCTCAAGAACCCGAGCGAATCCCGTAGGGAGTATCCCAAATCCCTACGGGGCTCTGACGAATCCTTTCGGCAACCGCAGCAATCCTCCAGGTCTCCTTGACGTATCCCGCAGGAACCCCCACGAAGCCTTTAGGAATCAAAGCGAATTCCGCAGGAACATGCACGAACGCTGCGGGATCCCCAGGAGTCCCTCAGGACCCCCGGCGAGGGGCGCGGCGGGGAAAGCGCGGAGAAAACAAAACCACAAGGCTCGGCGTAAGGAGCGGCGGAAAAGGCATAAATTGGCGTTGCCGCTGCTGCCGCTATTCGTTCCCATCGTGTCCCCCTTCTTTCTCTGGCTTTTCTTCGTGGCGTTCCTTGTCCCTCTTCCTCTCTCCCTCCTCATTTCCGCGCCACTCGCCCGCGCGCGACACTGGCCCTGCAGAAAACGATGTGCCGAATCGGCGTTCTGCTAAAAAGGCTCCGCCGAAAAAGATTGCCGAAGAGGGCTCGCCGACATGGCTCTGCGCCACCGACTCAGTCGATCTCCGTCGGCTGGTAGTCGGGAGCCGGTCCGCGCGGCCACTTGCGAAACTCGCGTTAGATCTGCGCGCGCGGGGCCCGCCGCGCGAAGCCGCGTCCTTCGGCGAACACGTCTGCAAAGCAACCCTCGCTCCCAAACAACCCAGCGCGGCAACCGCTTCAACCGCGTTGACTGCCGCTTTGCCCGGCTGCTTGGTGACGCCACCCTTCGCTGACGGCCCGCTGCCGGCTGCGCAGGCCACTGAGCCGCCAACTCTGCGCCAAAGCTCGTCCGTGCGCCAACGGAACTCCTCCAGCGGCCCCGCAGCGATCGCCGCGCGCGCGCGCCCGCGACACCGCGCGCCGCGAATGCGAGAAAGAGCACGGTGGAGAGAGCGAGTGGAGTGAGGAATAGAGAGAGAGAGAGAGACACACACACAACAAAGACATAGCAACTTAAGCAACACAAGTATTTTGCTTCGGCCGATCCCCACAGGAACCTCCGTCGTTTGTTCCCAACGGTGCGCGCGCCTACTGGACCGATGTGCGTGGGGCGCGGCTGTCTCGGCCAGCGCAGCGGCCGGGCCAGGTCACAAGCTGATGTTTTGCACAAGTCTAACAGCCCAGGGCCCCCAACGAAAGAAACCGAAACAAATCCCTGGAGCGACAAACCAGCCCCCAAAACGAGTCTTGCGAAACGCAGAAGCGCATTCGGAGAGAATTTGCAGCCAGTTGAAAGAGAAAGAGGAGGAGCAGCAGCAGCAGTACGAGGAAGGAGGAGGAGAAAGTGAGCTGGACCTCTCCTTCCTTCTCCTGCTCCGAAAACCCCGTCCTCCGACGGCAGGGAGCATGTCGCGTCTGATAAGGCGCCGTGAACTAGTGGCTGGCGTACACGCAATAGTATGCTATATTGTGTTCGGTTCGATTATGGCCCAATGTAATATATGACATTGTGCTGTGCTATGTGATGTTGTGGACGGGATGGCGTGACGTCGTGATGCCTTTCACGGTTGGTATGATTTCACTTGGTCGTTGCTGTTACGGTGTGTTTCTGTGACCAGCCTGGGCGTAGCGCGCACGCGCGTATGATAGGCCGCCAGAGCTCGGTCTCTGCTGACGTCAACTATCTAACGTTGTGTGTCTGTTCTGTTGTTATGTGCACATCTGTTTATTTATGTTCTGCTCTCGGCGGGGCGGCGTGACGTGGTGACGCCTGTCGGTTGGATATGTCGTCTACTCAGTCGCTGCCGCGCCTGTTGTCTCTGTGGCTAGGCGCTGATGCTACGTTCGACAGCGCGCCCTTAATATGTCGCTGTTCACAAGGCTCGAATCTGTTATACTCGACAGAATTATATTCTGCGCTGCTACAATATGATGTGTTGTGTTGTCGACGGGGCGGAGTGGCGCCGTGACGCCTGTCACGTTGGGTGCGTCGTCCGATCGTCTGTTGCTGCGCCTGTTTGCTCCCGTGGCCAGCCTGATCTCGGCGCGCACGGCGCGTTTGAGTATATCGTAGTACAGCATCCGACGTCGTGATGAAATGCTTTGTCATGCTACGAACTGCTGTGATGATGTGTTGTGGTATGCTAGGTTATGGTACTATGTGAAGAATGTGTGCTCTGATCTGGAACGCTATGTTATTGTGTGTTATGTCCTTTGTCGTTCATGATGTGTGGTCTTACGCTATGCTCGTAGTGCTCCATGATGTCATCGCATGCGTGATTCTGATGTGTCCTGTTGTGTCCTGTTCTGATATGAGGTGGAAATGTATGCAATGCTACGTTCGGGTGTTATGCTACATACTGAAGTGTGATGATCTTGTGCGTGCCATGGTATGCTGTGCCGTGATATGGAATGGTATGTGCGGTGATGCTGTGCCACGGTGCGGCAAGGAGAAGGACCAGGAGGAGGAGGAGGAGGAGGGGTAGGAGGAGGGGAGGGGGAAGGGGGGCGTTCGAAGTTGTTCGACGAAGGTGTTCGACAGCTGTTGCGTGCTTCGTGCTTCATTTCTGTAAGGTCCTTCCGCCTCCTGCAGCTACTGCTGCTGCTCACAAGCGGTTGCCGGTCATCGTCTCCTTCTCGCCCCCTCCACCTCCTCCAACTCCTACTCCCGTTGCTTCCTTTCCTTCCTCGTCATCCAATTCCAACTCCTGCTCCCCCCCTCCTCCCTACCGATCTTCCTTTATCATCCTATTCAATACTGTTCCTCATCCTTCCTCCTTGCTGTTGTTGCAGCTCTTTCTTCACCTCCTCCGAATCCTGTCCCTCCTCGTCCTCCGTCCCCCTCCTGCTGCTCCTCTTCGTCCAGCTGCCGATGGTCATCCTCCCTCCTACTTAGCATCTCTCTTCCCCTGCCTCCTCCTCCTCCTCGCCTCCTCTTCCTCCTTCACCCAGTGCTCACCGTCCTCCTGGTCTTGGTTCTTTACCCTACCTCTCCCCCTTTTCCCTCCGTCCTTCTCTTGCTGCTCATCGAACTCCGATGATTCGCCCCGTGCTAATGTTGCAGATGTTCATCCTCTTGTTTCTCTTGTTCCTCCCTCCTCCTCCTCCCCCTCATCCTCCTTCTCCTCCTTATTCTCCTCCTCCTCCATCCTTCATCCTACTCGCATCCCCTCCTCCTCGTTGTCCTACTCCACCTCTTCCTCCCCTCGCCGCCGCCACCGCCACCGCCGTCGTCGTCGTCGTCGCAGCCGATCGGGGCGCGGTCCGGCTTGAAGTCGCCCTGGCGCTGGGAAGTGGCCTGCGGCGGCGCCCCGCCCCGCTCGCCAGCCTGCTGCCGCTCCTCTGGCGGACCGTTTCCTCTGGCAAGACTCGCCCTCCAGTGGGTCCTCTCATCATTTTCCTGCTCTTCGCGCTCCTCCTGCCCCTACTCCAACGGACCCCATTCTCCTCCTCCTCCTCCTCCTCCTCCTCCTCCTCCTCCTCCTCCTCCTCCCCCTCCTCCCTCTTCCTCCTCCTCTCCTCCTCCCTCCTCCCCCTTCCTCCTCCTTCCTTCTCCTTCTCCTCCTCCTCCTCCTCCTACTCCTCCTCCTCCTCCTCCTCCTCCTGATCCTCCTCCTCCTCCTCCTCCCTCCTCCCTCCTCCTCCTCCTAGGTTTGGCTCGAGCGGTTTGCAAACCGGTTCCGCGCCGATCCCCGCCGCGACGCCCGCAAGGGCCGCCATACGCCAGGCGCGACGCCTGCTTACTCTCCTCCCTCCTACCCCCAGCGGCCTCGCGACGAGCCCGCTTACCATCGCAGAGCGCGCAAACAGCGCGCAAACGCCCGCACACTTTTAAGAGTGCATAAAGCCGCAATGATGCTCTCTCACCACCACTCTTTCCAGGGCCTCCCGCAGCAAGGCGCTGCTCCCACGACCTTGCCCCCGCCTCGCGCAACGCCTCTCTCGCCAACGTCAGGGCTGCAGCAGCACGGTATGGCTACCTCCCCCACGCAGCGTATGGCTGCTCCTCCCTCTCCGTCCCTATATGCCACGCGCCTGCCTGCTGACTTTTTTCCTCCCCCCCAGCAGCCAGTGCACCAGAAAGGCAGCGCCCCTCCCGAGCTTTGGTACTGCCTGCAGTGCGGCCGGGCCAATACCACTTTGGACGTTTCATGCCCCACCTGCTTTCCGACTCGGGCGGCAGGTCCCCAGCATGCGACAGCCGGCCCCGCCAAAGGTCAGGAGCAGCACAAGCCCCTGCAAGGTGCGGGCCCCTGGCCGGGCCACAAGGGCCCACGCTCCTTTTCTGGAAGCACGGGTGGGGTACACATGGGCAAAGGCCATGCGCCGTCAAATGCGCCATCTTTCGACCAGGTGGCTGCGTGGGCAGCGGAGTACGGCTTGCTCCCCGCACCCCCAGGAGACCACACGGTCCTGCCAGAAGTGATCTCCAACAAGGAGCGCAAGAAGCGAGAGAAGGACGAGGCTCGCAAGGCCCGTGAGGCCCAGCGCAGCGAGGGGGAGCAGCCCGCCTCAAAGGCTCCTGGCACCCCACACGGCGCCAAGGACACGGGCATCATCGGGCAGTCTCCCCGGTCGCAGCCTTCGCCTTTTGCGCCTCCTCCTGAAGGTGAGGCCTCCCCCCCGCACTCTTCGGCCCCGCCTCTGTGCAGCAGTCTCCGTTCCTCATGGCCGACCAAGCCTTCTCCTCTCTCGGCGCGTTGGATCCTGCCACTGAGCTCTCAGTTGCAGAGCTCACAGCGCAATGCCCTATCCTCACCCCTGACGAGGCGCACTCTCATTCAGCCTGGATCTATCCCCCGCTCGAGCCCGACCGCCTGTTGGAGCACCGCAAGGCCCTTGCCATGAGCAAGGATGCGCTGATCCTGCAGCTCAGGGCCTCAACCCTCCTAGGACACTCCGATATGCGTATCACCGAGATCCGTAAGGAGATTTCATTAGTAAATTTTCAATTGGCCAATGCGAGGGATCCGCTAGCCAAGATTAGCGAGCAAGAGCACGTGGTGGCCTCTCTGCATGCCGATTGCGAGCAATTGGCTACTAAGCAAGCACAGGCAGAGGAGCACGTGCGTAACCTCGCCCTGGCCCTTCAAACCGCGCAAGCGGACCTCAGCCAGGCATCTACATTATTAGCTTATTTCAAATCGCAGGCGCCGCCAGTCGCTGCCATCACTGACTCGCTCATGATGGGGGAGGCGGCGGACGAGCCAGGAGCAGTGCACCGCGCTGCGGCACTCTCTGCATCGCACGCGGGCGAAGATCGAGCTGGCCCGCCAGACCTAGGAACGGCCACGCCCCTCACTGCCGCGCCGCCCTCCCCTCCGCTCCTCCAATGCCCCGCGCCCCTCCCAGGCATCCAAGGGTTGGAACAGCCTTACATCACCTCACTCTCCGCGGCCATGCAGAGCAACGCCGAGGCCATGGCCAGGGAGGTAGCCACCATCAAGGCAAGTTTTGACTCCCAGGCCCAGGCCATGCGCAACGCAGTAGACACCCTAGTCTCACAGATCAAGGCCGGGCAACTAGTGCCAGCCGCCGTCTCTAGCCACGGCGCCACGGCCCGGGGGGGGGCCACCGCGCCGCCAGGTTCTGAACAAGCCCGCGCTCCCGCCAGAGCGGGCCCGCTTTTCCGCCTAGGTTTTGCGCCCAAACCTGGGCCAGCGCCAGTGCCCGAGACGCCGACAGGGGAGGCGTCCACCACTGCGCCACCAGGAGAGGCCGCTACCAACCAGTCGAGCCCAGCAGCAGCTTCCGTAGGGGAGCCTAGCGAACTGCCCCCGCCTACCCGTTCTGCCAGCCAGCTCGGATGGGACCTCTCTGATGATAAAGGGGAGCCAGTCACCATGGCATCCTCCCGCCGCAGCGCAAGCGCTCAGGCCAGGGGCAGACCCGCGCGTGTGGGTCAGGCCGACGAGCGCACGCTCTCAGGCATCAGCGAGGAAGATTTTGAAGGCAAGCAGGCGGCACGCAGCAAGAGCCCTCGTGGCTCCCGCCGCCCCAGGCGAGCGCCAGCCGAGGCCGAGCTGACGTCCCGCGCAGGGGCCCCCGCCACGGCTGCCCCCCGCAGTCCTGCTGATGCAATGGCAGACGCAGAGGCAGCGGACCTTCGCGCCGAAGCCGAGGCCCACGCAGCACAGGCTGCTCAGGACGACCTGGCCCAGGCAGCGCGCGACGGCACGGTTTTTCAGGTCGCTCCCCCGGACACTGCCCACGGGTGAACCTGGGCAGACGACAAAGCATTCGTCGCAGCCCGCTTCCGCCCATGGGGTGGATGCTACCGGTTCTCACGGCTACCTCCATCCAGCTGGTCAGGGATGTTGATGCCATTTTTCCCGCCCTCCAGTCCTCCACCCCCCCTACCTGGCACAGCCTCGCCTTTGACACACCCTACGCGGCTTTTGACTCCGCGGATATATACACCGACGCCAGCGGAGGGGCCTCCAAAGGAGATCTCGCTGGCCCGCCAGCGTGGGCTTTTTTGGTCTTTGCATGGCTCAACGGCACTCGTCACTTTCTCGGCTTCCTCGGGTGTCCCACACCGGAGCTGACAGGAGCAACGAGAGTCTCTGCCAAGGCAGAATTCGATGCCGCCACCTGGGCGGCGCTATGGGCCCTACAGTCCCCGCTTCCTCCCGCCGTTCCTCTCACCTTTCACTCAGACAACATGGACGTGGTCTCTACCGCCCAAGGCGGTACTGTGGCCGAGCCGCTCATAGAGCACAGAAGTCGCCTCGACAGTCTGTGCAAGGTCCTGGGTCTGAGACGTCGCTTTACATGGCAGCACGTGCACGGTCACCAGGCAGACCCACTCAACGAAATGGTTGACACGGTAGCCAGACTTTATTCCCTCGCAGTGCTCCCTCCTCCCGCGCTCCCACCCCTCATGAAATTTCTCCAGGACAATGCGCACATCCTGGAATGGCTCTGGCTGGAGTGCCTCCCCCAGCAACAGCGCGCCCTTTACCCGCCTAACCATCAGGTTAGCCTTAATCCTCCTTTCCCCCCCCGCACCTCGCTCGCAGATGTTTTCCAGGTCTCTCCGGGGAGGCAGCCCCTATCGCAGACGCCACCGCATCCTGTTGCCTCAGGCTAGCCTCAGCCAACATTCTCTCTCTCACGCCTGCATCGCGCATCTCCCAAAGAGCCAAACTTACGGGTGTGGCCGTCGAAGGGCGCCTACATCAGTTGGCCGCCGCCTTTCAACGCAATGGGCTCGATGTTATAGGTATGCAAGAAACGCGAGTCAATGCCAAGGGCTCTGGCAAACGCCAAGTCCCCCCGTACATAGTTTTTCTGTCCGAGTCGCAAGCTGGTACTCATGCTTGCGGCTGCGCGCTCTGGGTCAACCTTAGCACGCCCGTATTTCCTAATGCCAAAGGCATCCCCACCTTTCCTATTAAGTCGCATAATGTGCGCATTGTACACCAAGACCCGCGAATCATCGCGGCCGTCATAAGTCAGAACGGCCTACGCTTCAGCATCCTAGTGGCGCACGCTCACCATTCCGGGCGTCCTCTCCATGAGCAGGCCGCATGGTGGCAGCACCTTCGACATGTGCATGACCATATTTTGCCGCAGCCCACTCCCACTCTGGTCCTCATGGACTCCAATGCTGCAGTAGGCACACAAACCTCAGCGGCCATCGGCCCCCAGCATGCGGAGCAGGTCAACACTGCTGGCTCCTTTTTCCATCGCTTCCTACTCGCCTCAAATCTCTGGCTGCCGGCCACCTTTGTGCCCCACCCTATGGGATCGGGCACATGGATTTCGCCAGCACGCGACCCCGCCTTCAAACAACACTGGAAGCGCAGGGATTACATAGCTATCCCGATAGGCGCCTCAGCCACTGAGTGCGAGGTCAAGTACTCCCTTACCTTGGCACTCGCAGTACTAGACCACGCTGCTCCGTGCCTATCTTGCCGCTTCAAGCTTCAGCTGCGCCCAACCGAGGATCAGGGATGCCAGGTCATGCGTATCCCGCACGACCCTACAGCGTACCTCGACCCGACGGCCAGGCAGCTTTTTGAAGACACATTTAAGCCTCCTCCCGAACTTTTAACCTTTGACTTACATGCCTCTGACCACGCGCTCATCCTTGACCGGGAGGCGCGTAACGCCATGCTACAGGCCTTCCCCCAACCCCGCACGGCAACAGGCCGCGCACCTACCAACTCCCGCATCTCTATGGCCACCCTCGTGCTTATGGATGCCAGAGCCTTGACCATCAGTCAGGCCAACACCCTACAACGAGATGCGTGCAACCTTTTCTTGCGGGTAGCTATCGCGGCTTGGAAGCGA